ACAAATACACACACACACACACACAAATGTTCTAGACAATAGTGGACCTTTAAACACGCCTTACTGGGGCCTCCCAGTAAGCACCACACTGTGAAGCTGTCCACAGCCTCTGCAGCGCAGGTTTGATCCCGGCCAACCGGCCAGCAAGAATCCCACAAGGCAAACAGGTCTCTCTGTCTCATCCACTCACGAGTGTTTCTTCAGTCAGCCTGTTCTGCTCCCTACTCTGTCTCCGGTGAATCCTCTCACCCTCCCGCACATTTGGCCTGTACCCTGGTTCTTGTATAAAAATAAATAAATCTTTAAAAAAAAAAAAAACACTCTTACTAAAATACCTACAAGGCTCTATAAAGGAATACATCAAAAAGTTCACTATAGATAGTGATACATTCACAAAGTGTGACTTCTAATTCCTAATATTAGCTTTTTTCTAAGTATTGATGTCAGAAACATGTCAATAACATCTTGTATGGGGTTTAGAAGATATAGGCAGAAATAGTTATAGATGCATTCTATAAAGCTAAAGTTACATTTTTCTAACTGCATGCTTTCTCCATATGATCATCCGCACCCCATATCTAAATACTACTTTTGTTCAGAAATGATGGCATTTCCCTCTTAGAATTTCTATCACCAATTTTGGCATATGATTGTATATTTCTACATTGTGTTTTATATAGGTATACTCATCAACATTATCCTAGCTCCACAGTAAATGATATCTAATTCTCTTGTTCTAGCACAGTATGATACACATGTCTGAATATATATTTATTTGAACAATTCACACTCCCCTTAGATTAGCATATCTATTACATCTATCATGCTGTGTGGCAATACTTAGTAAGAATTCTAAGTATTTGCTTCAAAGTTTAAGAGGTGGGGGGAGTGGACAGACCAAGTTAAGATGAAACAAGATTGACCAGAAGTTGATACTTGCTAAAATTGGTGATATGTACATTACTGTATATTTATGTTGGCAGTTTCCAAAGAAGAAAATGTATGGAAGTTTGCTTCTCCTACTATAACAGATAGAACTTAAAGACAGATCCAGGAGTTTTATGTCTATCTAGCAGAGAACAGATAAACTTACTAAACACATTTCATTCTTTAGGAAGAACTCTCTTTCCATGAAACTTCAATTGTTTTTTGATGGTATTTTATTTAAATGATTCTTTTATTAAATCACATGAAACACATAATTCATTAACTATTTACTGTACATACTTTCTCAGATATCTTTTCTTGGTTAGTGTAAGACATCAAAAATAATTCATCCTCTAATAAATTAAAAGTCTGACAAAGTTCTCTCAAGGATCCCTAGGGAAAAGGGAGGGAGGAAAGACAGTAAGATGAAGAGGGAAAAAAAAATAGTAAAAGACAATAAAGTTCTTAAGAAAAAGTCTAAGGCATCCACATTCTTAATAATAAAGAGGACATAGAGCTTGCTCAAGGTATTCAGGCCTAAAAGTTCCCCTCCCCATTCATTTTACTGATGAGGAAACTGAAGCTCAGAGAGGAGGAAGTGACTTGCCTCAAGTTACATACCACATTGCTAACAAAACCAAAATTAAAACGCCTATCTGCTGCTTCAGAGTACAATGTTAATTTTCTACACCAAAATATTTTCTTCTACACCATAATATTCACTAGCTGAAGAGAATAACTATAATCGATACAAATTTCAATTACATATTATGCCAAAATAGAAAAGAAAGTTCATAGGCTACGTAAAGAAGGGAGGAAAATGCATACAACAAACTAAGACAATTATACATGACGACCATACATATACCATGAGACACATTTGACTTTTGGACACAGTATCCATTTCATCAACATTTTAATACATAGACATTGTAAAATACATCTTCATTTCAAAAAAAATACTAAAATGTGAAAATTTACATGTGTAAAGCAATAAAATGTAACACAATACACCCTCTAAGACAAACAAAAATCACTATCTTTAGGAGAGTGTCACAAGGCACAAACAAACAGAGCAGAGTCCCATCTTCTAAAGTAACAAATGCTTACTACATATCTAAAGCTGTGTGGCTTTTTTTTTCTATTTTAAGTATTAATATTCATCTTATCTTTTGTCTCATATGCATGAATGTTTGCACTAAACAAAACAAGGTTTGAATCTCCACTCTACCACCTTTGGAAAGTTACTAACTTCTCTGAGGTTCAGTCTCTTCATCTGTAAAATGGATTTCCACCTTAGAGAATCTTATGAGAAGTAAATGTGATTATTTACTTAAGAAATATAAAGTTGGGGGCCTCCCCGGTGGCGCAGCGGTTGAGCGCTGGGCTGTGAAGCTGCCCGCAGCCTCTGCAGCACCGGTTCGATCCCCGGCTGCTGGGCAAGGGTCCCACATGGTGCGGTCTCTCCTGCCACCCACTGCTCCCCTCAGCAGTGTATTTCGTCTGTCTGCCTGTTCTGTTCCCCACTCTGTCTCTAGTGAATTCTCTCACCCTCCTGTACTTCTGACTGTACGCAGTGCTTGTATAAATAAATTAAAAAAAAAAAGAAATATAAAGTTGGGCCTCCCTAGTGGCACAGCGGTTAAAGTCTCAGCACTATCAAGCTATTGCCAGCCACTGAGGTCTGAGTTCAATCCTTGGCCAGGGAGCTAATCCACATGGCGCAGCAGACCTCTCTTGTCTCTCCCATTGCTCTGCTCAGCAGTGGATTTCAGTACATCCACCTGCTCTGCTCCCCACTGTGTCTCTGGTGAAACCTCTCACCACACCCCCCCCATACCTCTGGCGTATATCCCAGTTCTTGTGTGCATAAATAAAAATAAATCTTTTAAAAAAAAAAAAGAAAGTATTACGTAGGTGAAATATTAAATTTCCTCCCACAATCTCTATGTGTCCAATGAAATTAAACTAAAAACTAGATCCTATTCTTGACTTTCAAAATTCCCTCTTTCCATTCGACATTGGAATAAATATGTACTAATCCTAAAGCAAATCCTACTAGTTTTCTTTGGAATAACTTTTTTCTTTTTAAAGATTTATTTTATTTTTATGCATACAAGAGCTTGGGTACAGGCCAGAGGTACGGGGGTAGGGGAGTGGTGGTGAGAGGATTCACCAGAGACAGAGTGGGGAACAGAACAGGAAGACTGACTGAAATACACTGCTGAGAGGAGCAGCGGGCGAGTCAGGAGAGGTCTGCTACGCCATGAAGGTTGCTCCCTGGCCGGGGATCGAACTTGTGCTGCAGTGGCTGCGGTTAGCTTCAGTGGTTGTGTCTTAACCCCTTGCGCCACCAGGGAGGCCCTGGAATAACTTTTTGATAAGAAAAGTTTATTTTCTCAAAATTTGTCTTTTTATTAAACTGGGAACTGAAAAAACAGTAAATACTTAAGTTAAGCTAGTTACACGTTAAGTCAGCACTTCCATATGTACTACTAAACTGACATCTTAAGACCCGACTCACTGAAGAGAGGAACTACAGAATCAGAAGGAAGGGTGTAAGGCCAAGACACAATTAAAATGACTCAATTCTATGAGTGGTTTGGTCTTTTTAATTTCAAATTCATTTAATAAGTTCGAAAAAAGCAATTAAAGGAGGTGGACCATTATCTCCATGATCCAGGGTGATTTAGTACTCCTGATCCCTCAGACTAACAAATGGCATCTTTTAGTACGCCAGTTTCAGGTTGTTTCTACCAGTAACAACGCAGTCATTTCCAAAATAGGAACACGCCTACAAAAGTGCCTTAAATGCAGTAAGCACTGAAATAAGACCATCTTTTCTTCTATTCCAAACATACTTCAGATTAGTTTACCCATGTATTTCCTCACTAATAGCTGATTACAGTGGATGGCTTTCCCTGCTAATTATAAAAGTAGTAATGTTCATTTTCTTTAATTTGGGAAAAATACAAAAAGTATGAGCATTTTGAAACCTATGATCTTACCAGCCAAAGACTAAAAATATTATGAGGAAAAAAAATATATTATAAGAGGACACACTAACATCTTTCCTATGAATTTGATCATAACTGTGATCACACCAAATCTTTAATTTGTATAGAGCATTTGTCACTAGACACAATTTGCTACCAGCCTACATCTTAGTATCTTTATTCTGGTTTTCTTGCAATTAAATTTACATTTATTTTTTCCTTTATAACTCAGTGGTTTCCTCTCAATCTTCGTTATTCTGAATCTTTCAGCTACATATTTTACTGCTGACCACTTCCTCTTGAAACTCTTCCTTCCTTGTTTCCCTAAACAGTAGTATATTCCACAGTGTCTACGAAAGTCTCTCCAACTAATCTTTCTCACTTTCTTCATTGGCTCTCTTCAATTAATTCTTGACACTCTGAAAAATGGCTCAGATCTGATCTTTGAATTTCTTGCCAACTCTGAGTCTCAGCACTTAATAAAGTGCCAACATGAAGTAGGTGTTCAATTAAAGTTTAATGCATGACTTCACCAATCCTGACCTGCTACTTACCAGTTGTATGAACCTTAAGCAACTTAAATGTCTCTGAATCTCAGTTCTCTGATCTATAAAACAGGGATGATCAAAAAAACTTGAAAGCTCAAAGCAGTGTCCAGCACAAGTAAATACCTAATAAACTTGCTATTATTATTAACATAACCTAGTATAGCACTAAATGTTTCTCATCTATATGGTTGAACACCAAATTTACCTCTCAATAACCCACCTTCCTTTCATTCTATTCTCTTATCATAACTATCAGAAATTAGTTTTGTGCTCTTTCCTCTACTACCTACCTCTAATTCTTTTCTCCTGGCCACCACACAAAGTCATCTTTTATCAACTAAGATTTAACAGATTTTCAAATCCCTAAATATTCATTCAAATCGTCAATCCTCCTTAAAAAACATTTTTAATCTGTTACTTTTGTACATAGTTGCTTATAATGTACCCAAAATACTGGAATGTCACCCTCCATGTCTTCCAATAACCCATATCACAACCTCTTAGGTTCAAAAGATGGCTCAAAACTTACCTCTTCCAGGAAACCTTCCCTGATTAACTCCACTTGGATTAGTTCTCTCCTCGGACTCGGTTCAGCACCCCAGCACTTAGGTATTCTGTTATACCAGGGATAAAATGTAATCAATGAATAGCATTACCAAGAATTTATTCTCAAAAAATTATTTGTAAATCCTAAAGGATGGTCCATTAGCTAAAACATTTTATTAATCTAGCTAATAGGGAAACATTCTTGACACCTGACACTATATTATTTTATGTTTTTCAAGAAGTACTTGACAATCCTTCTGTCCTATCAATCAGAAAATATACCTCAGAGGGCCTCCCCGGTGGCGCAGCGGTTGAGCGCTGGGTTGCGAAGCTGCGCGCGGCCTCTGCGGCGCCGGTTCGATCCCCGGCTGCTCCCCGGCCACCAGAGGGTCCCACATGGCGCGCAGACCTCTCCTGCAGCCCGCTGCTCCCCTCAGCAGTGTACTTCGGTCCTTCTGCCTGCTCTGCTCCCCACTCTGGCTCTGGTGAATTCTCTCACCCTCCCACACTTCTGACTGTACCCAGTGCATGTATAAACAAAACAAACAAACAAACCAGCAAACAAATAAATAAAGCATGCCTCTATAAAAAAAAAAAAAAAAAAAAAAAAAAAAAAGAAAATATACCTCAGAGCCTATCACAGAAAGGCAGTAGCAGTAATACATACCGTCTTCCTTTCCTCTTTGTGAAAAGAACTTTCAACCTGTTCAGCTACAAAACATTTCCTAAGCCTGAAAAATTTCCCACTAGCATGATGCATAATCAAATTCTACTATATCAAAATAAGCTAGTCCTACAGAATGACAGGGCAGTATTTATATGCTAGTACTTGCTTGTGCTAATAGAAGCTCTTGCATCATTTTAATGCTACGTTACATATGACTAACAAGATAACTGCGAAACTCCCCTGTAGGGCAGATTTTCTGAAAGTATTTTCTGATATGGCCTTTAAAATAACATAATTTTTGCTTCTGCACAGCAAAAGAGACATTAACCAAAACAAAGAGACACCCCACTGATTGGGAAAAAAATCTTTGCACTCCAGGCAACTGATAAGGGATTGATCACAAAGATATACAAAGAACTCACACAACTCCACAAAAACAAAATAAACAACCCAGTCAAGAAATGGGCAGAAGAACTTAAAAGACATTTTTCCAAAGAGGAAATGCAAATGGCCAACAGGCATATGAAAAAATGTTCAACATCCCTTACAATCAGGGAAATGCAAATCAAAACCACATAGAGATACCACCTTACACCAGTAAGAATGGCACATATCAAAAAAACAAGCAACAACAAATGTTGGTGAGGATGTGGTGAAAAAGGAACTCTCTTACATTGCTGGTGGGAGTGCAAACTGACCCAACCACTACCGAAAGCTGTCTAGAGGTTCCTCAGCAGACTAAAAATGGAGCTACCATATGACCCAGAAACTCCACTACTAGGGATCTACCAAAATGACACAGAAACACTGATTCAAAAGAACACCTGCATCCCTGTGTTTATTGCAGCACTATTTACAATAGGTAAAACCTAAAAACAACCCAAATACCCAAAGACAGATGACTGGATCAAGAAGACGTGGCATATATACACAATGGAATATTATTCATCAATCAAAAAAGATAAACGCATGCCATTCGCAGCAACATGGCTGGAACTAGAAGGAATTATGCTCAGTGAAATAAGCCAGAAAGAAAAAGAAAAATATCGGATGGTTTCAGTTATAGCAGGAATACAGGGGAACCCAGTAAGACATCGGTGTAAAAAAAAGTAACAACAGTACAAAACACAACAAAGCAAAAACGGACCATTATAAATCAGAGACATCCTGCACGGGAGGCAGAGGGAGAGGAATCAGAGGGAGGGAGGGAGGAGCACAGGGGACTGAGGTGATGGTGCACGGGTGCACTGGTGAAGGAAACTCTATAGGGACACCTAAGGGGTTGGGGGGAAGCAAAGATTGTTTAAAAATGAAAAATGATGTAAAAAATAAAAAATTAATTAAAAAGTAAAAAAAAAAAAAACCCACACTTTTAAAATATAAAGATCAAGCGATTCCTCATTACCACCCAATCAAAAGCAAACAATTCTGGTGCCACGACTAGAGAGGATGAGTTAATGTGCTGCTCAGAGAAGACAAGATGAACTGTCGGGGGGCGGGGAGTAAGAGGGGGTGTTTAGGGGGGGCGTGCGCCCCAGTAGAGGGAGTTCACAAGTCTGCGTGACCCTGAATGAGCAGTGACTGAACCGAGCTGACTAACTCCGACCTGAGACATTCAGCAGCCCTGTCTCTGCCAAAACGGAGTTGTTCTTGCCACTTCCACGCCCTTAAAAGATCCACGCCCTTCAAGTTACCGCACAGAAACCTACCTCGTTAATTCCCTGTACACTTTCTCCTCACTGGCCACTTACCACCTCCTAGCTCAGCAGCCTCCATCCACACCTCTCCTGAAACCTCCTCCTCTCGGGCACCTTCGGGTGTCAGTCGGGACCTCTTATTCCAGATCCACGCGCCCCAATGTGCACGGGGCTCAACCTTCAAACCCCAGCTAATCCTCCCTGCCCTCCCAGCAGCTTTCCAGCCGCCCTGCCCAGTCTCAATACCTGCTTCCAGGAGCCCAATCGCCCTCCGGGTTCCGCACCTGCTCCCGGGCACCCTTTTCTAAGCATCACCCTGTTCCCATCACTTTCCTCCTCCCGGCCCGCAATCTCTCAATCACAGCCAGTCACCCTCCAACACCAGCCCGCTCCCCGTTAACCACCCCGCCCCACCTCGGCCACCACAGCGCGGCCTCCCCCTCCCCGGAGGCGCCCCCAGGCCCCGCGGCTGCAGACCAGGCCCTTCCGGGCCAGCCCGCTCGAGGTCCCGGCCCTCCGGCGGCGGCGGCCCGGCCCGGCCCGGCCCGCAGAGACCACCTGTGCCGAGGCCGGAGCCCCGGTTCCGAGCGGCCGAGGGTGGGGGCGGGGGCGGCCGCGTCGCCCGGGCCTCGGCCCTGCCAGCCGCCCCGGCTCCCGCAGCCGCGGCCCCGGCCGAGCGGCCCGGCCTCTCCGCCCCGCGCCTCCGGGCCTCACCTGGACGCAGAGGCGACGGCCTCACTTCCTCCCAGGTTGTCCAGCGATGGCTCCGCAGCAGCCGTCGCGCTCTTCTCACTCGCTCTTCCACCGCCCCCGGCCGGCTGCTGAAGAGCGGACGGGCAGCGGCACGCCCATTGGCTGCCGCCCGCGGTCGCGTCAGCCGGCCCCAACCCTCGCCTCGGAAATTGACTGGCTGGCGCGGAGCCTCTTTTCCACGTCGCGCCCTGATTGGCTGGCTCTGGCCCTCTTACAGCAGGACCGCTCTCCCTCCGCCCGGCTCAGCCTCCAGCCCCCCCCCTCCAATCCCGTTTCCATCCGGGAGGGGGCGAGAGGAGCGGGAGTGGGCGCGGGTGAGACGCGAACGACCAATGAGAGAGCTGAGAAAGGATCGAGGGGGTGGGCTTTGCGGCCGGCCGGCCGGCGGGGGAAAGTTCAGCCAATGGGCGCGTGGCCCTCATGTCGGGCTCAGGAGCGCCCCCACTGGCCACTCGCGTAGCGGCGGGTCGCGCCCAGGACCACGCCCGGCTGCCCTTGGCGCTGCGGGGTGCACGCGGTAAAGGTGAGAAGGTTCTGGCGGGGTCGGCGAGCCTGTCCATGGGGCGTTCATTGTGGCGTGCCCCGCACTGCCTACGTGGGGCCCCGTGCGTTTTTTGGTGGGTCGATGAGAGCTAATTGATGGCCCTGTGGACTGGCCCCACAAACCCGCCCCCCCACCTGCCCATCCCCGGGAACCACCGCGGGTTACCCTGTACCTTAAGTCTCATCCGGCCCCACGGGAATATGGGCAAATAATTTTACTTTACTTTTCCTGCAAAATAATTTCGTGCAAAACTTATCTATGGGAAGAGAAGTTAGAGTAATGGTTACTTTGGGGGGATGGACGGGGTGGGGGAGCATAAAGGAACCCAATGGGAAGTGGAAAAACTCAATCTGGGTGATAGTTACAGAGGTTTGTACACATGTAAAACTTCATGGAGCCATGCACTTAAGATTAGTGCACGCCACATACTTTCTCTCAATTTTTTAAATAAAAAGATTGTGAGAATTACAGTGTAATAACATTTTTGTAATCTTAGTCTCCAAGAGACTCCCCTGGTATAAACCCACTGGATTTAACTATTATTCAAAAACTGCAAGCGAGGAAGGTAAAGGGGAAAAAAAAGAATTGTGAGAAATAAAAGTAAATTTACATTTCTGGCATGTGACTAGCACACAGGGCTTGGTAATTTAAGGATGGGCTAGAATGGTTTATTGTGTTTTCCTTTGGGGATTTAGATGTCCTTTCTGGGCCTGGCCCTGTTAGTAACGCAAAAACTCTGCTAAACCCAGTTGGAAAATACAAACGTGCCCTGGAGGAACTCACAAACCAGGAATAAGTAGTCCTTTCTGGAGGAGGGCACAGAAAACAAAGCTAACAGGTGCATACCTTCCGGGTTGACATTCTACTAGTTTAGGCAAAAAGACACACGTCCAGAACCACTCTATTAATACAATTCTGAAATAGGTCAAGCAAAATACCTCTTAGAAATGGGTCAGTGATACTCCAAAACAAACAACCCTGGGCCAAATTCTGGCCTGTGAAAGGGCACCAGCAGCAAAACAAAGATGACATCATTCATATTTATTACTCTAGACACAATTCTTCCATTCAGATAAGTACTTTTGTTGAAATCACCTGTTTCTGAACTAGGCACATAAGGTTAGATAAGACAGTATTTTCTTTTTCTTCCCATTTTGACCCCAATCCCTCCCCTCCCGCCCCCCACCCCCCAAAAAGTGTCTCTGGTTCATAGTTTTTTGTTGATTTTGATTTTCACTTTCTTATAGTTATTCATTTTCCTGGTCCCTTATTTAAGTTTTCTAGATTCCTGCTATGAGTGAGACCATCCGGTATTTCTCTTTTTCTTTCTGGCAGATAAGACAGTATTTTTCATAGTGCATAGGGTATAATGGGGAGAAAGACATAAACATTTACAGTGTAATACAGGATGAGGGGATGTATATAAAGAGGATCTAGCAGAGCTTAGACTTAAGGTCATCATCTCAGAAGACAGGGAGATAAGTTCATTACTGCTAAGGTTTGTCAGCACACCATATGCAATTATGCACTGTTTCTGAATAACACTTCAATTACAGATTTTTTGATTTTTATGTAAACACCTTAATTTTTAAATATAGCTATATATAGATACAAAAAACAAATTAATACTTAGTTCTGAGGAAAACACGTGAAGAAATTAAGTAATTGCTTAATGAGCACATCATAATTTTTAAAAACAGAGTTGAGAACATAAAGTCATCTCATTTGATTCAAGTCAGTGACTAGGCAATGTATCTCCAGTGGAGGGTGGAGGGAGGGTGCTTTCTGGAAGAGGATGTAAAATAAAAACAAAAACTTACTCTCCAAAATTGTGCTGTCTCATGGAAAGGGCTTGTTGAATGGCCAGAGTCCCTCATAGTGCACCATTATTCTTGTTAATTCAAAGAATTCTTTTATCTACAACAGTGAGTAATTAATAGTCTTCACAGAAGGCAATGAAGGATTTTACCCAAAAAAAAAATCATTTGTTCAAATGCTTTTCCCATTTATCTTCAACAAGAGCGCTGAAAATTGGGCTGTTATATATGGGAATCAAAACATTGCAATTTTATTCAAATATGAAACACCTGTGTGTGCTTCTGACTCTTGCTATAGAAACACAGTTCTGTAAATGAAAGTAAGTAACCACAAGTTAAAATGTACTGTTATAGTTTAGTCTAAAGAGAAAATCCACATATTGCTGATAATCTCATAGAAATAAACACCAAAGACATATACTAAACATATGTAGCTGCAAGTAATTACGAATTGCTCAGAATTTTATGACTTCTTTTAAAACAGAAAATAAGTGAGGCTGCGCATTAATTTTTAATGCAAATACTATCTTTTCCTACTCTGAAGAAATACTTCCTATGGCATCTATCCTTTTCTATCTAATATATTTTTCGATCAGTATTTTATTAAATAGTAATGAGGTTCTTCACTCTATCTTTGCCACAATCCTATTAAACTATTCATCTATTCATCTGAATTTCATAGAAAAGAAAATTGAGACTCAAGGAGACAAGTAATTTGCCCAAACACACAGCTGTTAGGTGGCAAAATGGGACTGAAATCTAGGTCTATTTAATGGCAACCTCCACAATCTTTCTACTTTGCTACAGTCACCTCTAAAATAAGATCAAGTCATTTTACACCTTGTCCTTATGTGTCTTTTTATTTCCCACAATAAATAGCACAGAATCTTACATTTGTCCCTCATGGAACTCATGGAATTAATCACTATTTTCACCATGCTTTATCTTTACAGATTTCATGATAAAGTACTGTAACAGGGTGGTCCCCAGGAAAGAGGGAGGTTCCAGGTTTCCTGCCCCACCCAAAAGGAGGGTGGAGCTGAGCAGGGAGAGAAGAAGCTGCAGAGGAGACTGAGGAAAGAAGGAAGCAGGATGGAGAGCCAGAAGGAGACCTGGAGGAGGCACATGGAGCCAAGAGACACATGAGGGTGAGAGACCCATGGGGAGGTGACAATGGCGGGTTTTGTCTTGATTTTGATTTTGCTCTTTTCCTTCCAGACTCATCTGGTTGTTTCTGATGCTTTTCTGTGGGTCCCCACTGGAAGGTGCTTTAGACTTGTGACAGGCTTTGGGGCCTTGTTCTGGGCCAATCCTGTTTGGGTGGACTTTTACCCACGAGGGGATGGGTAACTTTGGGTGCTTGATTTAGAAACTAGATTCTTTGCCTTTCCTGTATTGTTTCCTAATTGTATTAAAGTTCCTTCCCATTAAAGTCTGATATGTTTTGTGTTGATGTGGGCGGATGGCAGAACCAATTTAGAGCAGGCAGGTTTGTGGGGTCTGGGCTGCCCCTCTCCCTCCCTGTAACAGTATGACTATTTTAAAAGTAACTTTCACATTAAAAGTGTTTGTTTGCACAAAACTACAGGGAATGCAACTTTCTTTTAGTTGCTGTGGAGACTATCACAGTTATCTGGAATGTATCAGAGATGCTCACTTTCATAGTATAGAAAGTTTCAGACAACTCTCCTCAAGAGAACCTAATTTCTGGTGATATCAGTTATTCTCTGCAATTCATTTAGTGATCTCTACCTTGCCTTGTCCTCAATTATGTCATCCATAATTGCTATAGTTTAAACATATTTTTTAGGGCCTCCCTCGTGGCCTAGGAGTTAAGGCTCAGCACTGTGGCCTTCCCTGCCACAAAGTGTCCTGAGTTAAATCCCTGACCAGGGAACTAACACACATGGTGCAGTAGACCTCTCTTGTTTTGCATGCTGCTCCTGTTAGCAGTGTATTTCAGTGGATCTGCTATAGGGCAGCAAGGGGCACTAAAACTGGCCAAGGACACTGCTCAAATAGTTTACTGGTCACTGAGTTCTTCATCTATGCGCCCAATTGCAAGACTGCTCAGGCTCAGGGAACAACAACAATGGGATTTATTTAACAAACCAGGGGGAAGCAAAGTGTTACTGAGGCCAAAAATTGCCTTTACCTCACCCGAAGCCATGCCCAGTGTTTTTTAGTTCTAAACAAAATCAGCTAAAATGGCATCTTCCCACCACTGAGGAAGAGTCACAGAACTCCTCTCCAGAACAATAGGCCACGTGTTCAAGATGGTGTCTTCCTGCCTCTGCTGACCTGGAGCACACAGCAGCCAGACTCTTAGGCCAGGTTCCAACTCACAAAGCCAACAGGAGATACTCCTGGAGCTTCCTGGATGCCCCAATGCAGTACCAGGCAAGCGACAGTCAAGACAGCAGCTGTAGCATCGGAACAACTCAACAAAGAGCCACACTCTCGCAGCTCAGCCAGGTGGCTCTCTCCGGTCTCTGCTTTCTCTGCCAGGCTGTAACTGCAGCAAAACCAGGAACAGTTTCAGTCACTCTGCTAATTGCAAAGTCTCTGAACTTTTCCTCTCCAAATTTGGCTGCTGGAGGCCTCCATCTTCAGAGGCCCACAACAGCTTTCTGGAAGATGGGTGCCATGGGGGCTGAAATCCGCTGACCCCAAATGCTACAGATCCAAAAACCTTGAATCCTGAAGACCGAATAAATCTGTGCCCCCTTCTGCAGAACCTTATATATTTTATCCATGCCCCACCCAAAAATGCTATACTTTTTTTAGCATTTTCCCTGAGGCTATCCACACCAGGAAACCCCTCCGGGGGTACCACCTATAACAGTCTTTTGGCTTCAGCCACTGGTTACAGATGGGCCTGTTCTGCATCCCACTCTGTCTCTGGTGAATCCTCTCTCCCCCAGCACCTCTGGCCTACACCCCAGTTCTTCTACACAAAAATAAATATAATAAAAATCTTATAATAAAGGAATAATTCTTGGGCCTCCCCTGGTGGCGCAGCAGTTGAGCGCTGAGCTACGAAGCTGCCTGCAGCCTCTGCAGCGCCAGTTCAATGCCCGGCCACTGGCGAGGGTCCCACATGGCACAGCAGACCTCTCCTGCTGCGCCTGCTGCTCCCCTCAGCAGTGTATTTCGTCGATCTGCCTGTTCTGTTCTCCGCTCCGGCTCTGGTGAATCCTCTCACCCTCCCACACTTGCGACTGTACCCAGTGCTTGTATGGATATTTAAATAAATAAATCTTAAAAAAAAAAAGGCATAATTCTTTAAAAACAAAAGTTCTCATTAAACATTTTTTAAACCTGTTATTAAAAAAGAAATTCTTCCAAGTTTCTGACGTTTCCACTAGTACATCAGTTGCCAGCCCGAGCAAGTACACACAGGTCCTCATGGCTTCATTTCCTGGTCTTTTTCTAAAAGAAGGGTGAAACTTAATGCCTGGTATCTGTTTCAGAGATCTTGAAGTAAATTTGGTTTTAACTTGGACATGAATCATCTGACACTCAGTTATTCAATAGCTTTAATCTAGGTGGAACAAAAATGGAACTGGTATATTCTTGACTTTACTAAATCATTCCTGTGTCCTGACTAGTGACTTTCTAGATATTGAAAGGTAGCAGAATATGCACCAAAAAATATAACACTTTGCTTATTTTGAGCTTACAACTTAAAAAATAGTAGATACAAGAAGGGCATTCTAAACTGCCCTTTTCTTCCTGAAAACAGGAGATAAAAACTCTTGTAGGGCCTCCCCGATGGCGCAGTGGGTTGAGCGCAGCACCATGAAGCTGTCCACAGCCTCTGCAGTGTGGGTTAGATTCCCAGCCAGCCAGGGAGATACCCACATGGCACGGCAGACCTCTCCTGTCTCAGCCACTGCTCCTCTCAGCAGTGTTTTCGGTCTGTCTGCCTGTTCTGTTCCTACTCTGTCTCTGGTGAATTCTCTTATGCCCCTGCACCTCTGGCCTGTACCCCAGTTCTTGTATAAATAAATAAATCTTAAAAATAAATAAATAAATACATAAATAAATACATAAATAAATCTACCTGTTCTGTTCTCCAAAAAAAAAAACCTCATGTGAACGATGCCCTCCTTATACCAGAAACAAAGAGATTTTCTTCCAATGGGTATCAAAACAGAATTCTATACAAAAAGACTGCTAAAATAATTCTTATCTTTCTTTAGCCTTAATACACTTTACTTTTCCACAATTGTCTCTCCTCCCTCAAGCTAATGTAAAAGTCTAAGCTTAGCAATTTCTTTGGATTTTCAATTATTACATGTGCACCCATGTCACACAAAATTTATATAAACTATATATTTTGTTAATCCATCTTATGTCACTTTCATTCTCAGGCCCACCCAGCAAAAATATCCTAAAAAGACAGAGGTAAAATTTTGCATCCCTTAGAGTTTCTGGTGACGAGAATGCAATTCAGTGGCTAGGACATTGAGAAATCCTGGAACGTCGACAAGATGCCAGCAGGAGGTGAGTATTTTTATTCCCAGATCAGTTTAAAGCAAGAGTAATAAAAGTCTCTTTCTAAATATAAACTGACAGGAAACATATTAGTATTAGTTGTTTGAATTATGACTCTTGTACTTTTGGTTCTTGGTACCCATTGGTTATGATCCATGTCCTACTCTTTCTTTTCCTTATCTTGGTCATTTATGTTGTTATTCTTTTCATCTTGTTTTGTATCTTGAGAGCTGAGCTTTGTCACTATAAAGTGTATTCACTTTAGTCCAGTTTGGGTTACAAGCATTGGCTTGAGTTAGATCACCAGCCACACATAAGACACAAAATGACAGCTAGCATTCTCTGTTCAACCTTGCTGGCCCTGGGGGAAGTTTGTCTTAATGAAAGAACCCAGTCCATAAGAGGTTTTTGTTTTGTCAACCTTCTCTGTTTTCATGGTATTGGGAAACCCTTATCTTTATATTGACTACCCAGTACCATAGCTCAGCTGGTCCATTCCTATAGTGAATAAGAGAGAGATCATCTTCACAAACACTATTCTTAGCATTATGCAAATAAAGATATTTGCAGTTTTAGGCTAACTCAGGAGTAAACTTTCTGGATCTCGGGAAGGTTGCATCTTTTACCTTCTCTTTGGGGATACCGTTTGTGTCATAGGTAAGGCAAAATGACTTAATATGGATTATAAGTCAAATAAAGCTTATTGGTTGGTTTTGAATCACAGTTATAATGGGTATACTTTTGAATATTTGGACTTTTATCTCTAAAAGGATCTTGGAGATTCCTCAGTCTTCTAAAGATGGAGCTTCCATATGATCCAGCAATTCCACTCCTAGGTATTTGCCCAAAGGACACAGAAACATTAATTCAAAAGAGCACCTGCACCCCTATGTTTATAGCAACACTATTCACAATAGCTAAGCTATGGAAATAACCCAAATGCCCAAAAATAGATGACTGGATCAAGAAAATGTGGTACATATACACAAAGGAATATTACTCAGCAATCAAAAAAGATAAACACATGCAGTTTGCAGCAACATGGATGGAGCTGGAAGGGATCATGCTCAGCGAAATAAGCCAGAAAGAAAAAGAAAAATACTGAATGATCTCACTCATAGCGGGAATTTAGAAAACCTAAATAAGGGACCAGGAAAAGATTAATTATAATAAAGTAAAAATCAAAATCAACAAGCAACTATAAACCAGAGACACACTATGAGGGAGGATTAGGGTCAAAATAAGAGGGATGGGAATTGTATGGGGACTATAACCAAGATGAAAATGCATACATTGTGCAAAAATGAAAAATGATGTAAAAAATTTATAAAATATTTTTTTTTAAAAAAAGGATCTTTTAGAGAGCTCTCATTAAATGCCCTATTGTTTCCTATGGGAAAATCAAATTTAGAGGAAAAATTAGTAAGGTAAAGATGAAAATCAATTCATGTAAGTTAGTAAACTTAGCATTTCTGTATTTATACCTAACTCATGGCTAGGATTCAAAATAAAAACTATAAGATTTCTGTTTGTGTATGTATATGTCTATGTATATAAGTTACGTAATGTGCCAGATGTCTGTCTCAGGATATTGCCAAAATTCATTTGTAAAGGTTCAATTTAATTGGTTTAAAAAATATGCACTTACATAAATTAAGTTTTCCTAAAACTCAGAAATATAGACTTGAACTCAAATTTTTTTCAAGTTCACATGATCTGGGATAATTTCGGTAAATAAAAACTAGTTTAATTTTTTTGACTTAATAAATCATGTCTTAAGAATTGTCAACATTGAATATAATACAGAAATAACTTTTCTACTAGGTTTATTAGTCAGATGTGCTCAGGTTATTCCTGCTAGATATCAAGATTATAAAATTATAAATTCAATTTTAAAACAGGAGGTACTAAAAATACTGATTAGTATATGTCAAATACAGTACAGTTTGGAGAGACATAATTTTTAACTATTAGATTATTTCTGTGATTTTCTTTATATTTGATTTATCTATGAGAAAAATCATTTAAGATTATAGCTAGGTTTGTTTAATTATTTAAGAAATGTTTATGAGCACTTAATTGTTAAAAACATTATTAAAATATGAGATAAAAGTATATAAAAGAACTTTTCAACAATAATTATGTTTTATAAAATATGTCTGCTTGGGGCCTCCCTGGTGGCACAGGAGTTAAAGACACAGCACTATCAAGCTATCCCCAGCCACTGCAGCACAAGTTCCATCCCTATTCAGGGAGCTAACCTGCATGACACAGCAGACCTCTCCTGTCTCTCCTGCTGCTCCCCTTAGCAGTGTATTTCAGTCATTCTGCCTGCTCTGCTCCCCACTCTGTCTGGTGAATTCTCTTATCTCCTGCACCTCTGGCCTACACCCCAGTTCTTGTATGCATAAATAAATCTTTTTTAAAAAGTCTACTTAACATACTTTTCAGAATCTTTTTGGAAACTTCAAACTTGAAAGTTTTAGTAAGCTAAATTAAACGATGGCTATTCATTAATTATACCATTTCCAAATGAAACAATGTACTAAAGTCTTAATTAGTTAAAAATTATTATAAGTTTACCTATTTTCCGCTTCTTAATTTTTACTGAAAGACAAAATGTATGTAATCTGTTGGTAACATCTTTTGTCACATTAAAACAAATTGTACTATGAAAATACTCGTCTCTAAAAATTATAAATTTTTGAAATTATGTATTCATAAATACAATATTCTAATACAGGATACTAATTTATGACATTTTATAGTCCCCTCTTTCACAATTTCCTTTGGAAAAAAGAAAGTTGGTAATAACTAAAATTTATAATCAATATATAAATCTTCTAAAACAATGAGTAAAAGAAAACAACTTTGTATACAAGGTATAGGAGGAAAATGGGATACAAAGAATGTAGGAGGTGTTTTTGTTAAGAAAAATAATGCAGGTTTACTGAAAAGAATTTCGTGTTGTAAGATCAAATCTGGCTAAACTCAAATGGATTTATTTATAAGGGTTTTAAAAATGAGCTCAGTAATGTACTGATAGAAAACTGGAGCTTAATTTTTTCTGTTAAGTTGACAGACTAATGGCTTAAGAAACCAGTATAAAATATTCTGAAGGTTTTTATTTACCTTTTGTGTAATTTGCCAATGAAGCAAAGAGTATGAAATAATTTCTGCATTTCACATCATCTTTATCGGGTTTTTTGTTGTTTAATAAAACTGAGTCTTTACAATATTAAAGTTATTTTACAATTACGTAACTGTGTATTTGTCTTTAAAATCTTTTGTCATTTTAATAAATGCACAACTAAGTACTGTTTCATAGCAGCCTGTGATACTATGTAATCAAGTGTTTTACACCTTTTGAACATTTTTTTTAAAACTTCCCAAAATGAAGTCGTTTGACCTTAAACTAACTAGGATTATCCAAAGGGCTCCTGGAAGATCTCAAAACATTGGTTCTCATCTTTATAAAAAGAGAGCTATTAAGCTATTTGGCTATTTGATATGTTCAATTACGTAAGAAACATTGCCAAAAAAAAAAAAAAAGAAACATTGCCAAATAAATTTTTAAAACCTAAGTTTACAAAACTAGAAATTTGTCAATGTCCTTACTCTAAATATAATCAATCATAATTCTAATTTTTATTGTAAAATATTGAACATATCAGCAATAGCCAAATTTCCTTAATTACATCATTTTTATGGTGAATTCTCACCAGATCTTTAACCTTGGGAATTTTAAATCTTTTCTCATTCGTAATTACAGTTTTCCTCTTGATTCTTGCTTGAAAGTATTTACAATCAACTACAGGCAAAAATGCTTAATCTTCAAGGACATTCATGGAGTGAATGTCTGATAACTTTAAGTCATACCGCTGAACTGCCTAAGAATTTCTAGAATTCTAATGGAGAAACTGATTCATAAAACTGCTAATCCAAGATCAAACAAACTTAATTTTATCAATCTGAATGAACTGATGAGGATGATAATAATTTTTACAAATTTTTGTTCAAAGCACTGTTAATCTTTAATGTTTTGTTTTCCAAATTTAAGAAAACTTTTTTAAGCAATCTGTAGCACAGTAATTTGATAAATTTACTTTTGTTAACAAAAATGAAAACTTTTCTTTTTCTCTTTACCTGATTTCTCAAAAATTGGAAATGCTTAACAAATGTTCTTATTTCTGTGGCAGTATAGCTGTCTGTGGGTTCAATAAGAATCTGTTCTCTTTGGGCCTCCCCTGGAGGCACAGCTCCGGTTTGTTCCCTCGCTGCTGGCGAGGGTCCCACCAAAAAAAAAAAAAAAAAATCTATTCTCTTTGTAAGAAGACACAATGTAAACATGTAAACATTGGTTATATTTACTAAGGCTCACCAGAATGTCATATTTGACTTCAGTGCATGTAGAATGAAATGTTACCAGACAGATTTAAGGAACTAAAGTTGACTTTAGGGAGCTGGTGCTCATAAAGTCCCTTGAAATACCAGCCTGACGATTTGTATACAGGATTCCCAGCCTTACTGATGAGTAAGGAAGTTTACTTCTTGACAGGCCCAAGACCTTAAGATGTATTAAGCACCTGGAGGAATCACCCAAATCTACACTACAGGAAATCTGATGGCAAGGTTTTGGCTTCATTTCGTAATTTTAAAAGAATTTTAAAGGTTCAATATAAGATTCCTTATTAAAGTAATTAATAATTCCTTATTAAAAGTTCTAACAAAGCAGACTTTAAAACAGCCTATATGATAAATCATTATTCCTGCTGCATTTATGTGAATCATCAGGCCGGCTTTAATGACAATTTTATTTTACAAACAAAATAACCCTACTTAATTATATTTATTAAAATGAGGAGAAAGACACCCTACTGAATGGGAGGAAATATATGCACACCATAAATCTGACAAGGGGCTAATATTCAAGAACTACAAAGAATTTATACAACTCAGAAAAAGAAAAGCTGATAACCAATCAAAA